TCGACCAATATATTATTAATATTATATAATATGTTTGTTTTCCGAGAGTAGGGGACGTCTGCAAGAAAGTCTGATATCGAGAAAAACACAGTTATTACTTATTAAGTATCGCAATAGTATGAACAATAATAATGTGACGATTGACTGTCATATTATGCTTAATGCTACTATACCTAATTTTGGAGCAGTTAAACATACCTTTGAAATGTCTTTCAAGAAGGTGTTAGTGTGTACAAAGGCAGTACGCTTTTAAATACATAATACTTGTCTATATGAGAGCTTTCGGGATCTTAATTTGTCTGATAACATTTTTTTGGTATCTATATAAAAATAGTTTTTTTATTGAATGGAGGCAATAATATTATGTTTTCTGACAAATTCCCACATAGAATTTAACATAGAACCATAAAAGAGTTTACTCGATATTTTCTTTTAGCATTTCTTATTATTTTTACAATATAAAATCACATAAAGAGTGTTTTAATACTTAAGAAGTACCTATTATGGTCCTCCAGAACGGCTAGGTGCGGCTTATCTATAGTCGTAGATATCTGACGCGGTATAATGCATATATGTATATGAGATTATAGGCGTATTATTTGGAGTACATTTACATTATAGTGCAGTAAGGAGTGCCATCAAGTGTAAAAGTCGTGTAAGTATATACGCACATTTCACTATAATATATATATATATATATATAGAAATAGGTACCGCGGGTTACTTTGACGCTCCACACTATTTGCATACCAGTCAGACTGCCTATAGGTAGGTTTGCGAGCTCTCTGGAGAGACGGAGACGGATACTATATATTTTCATTCATTGATGGCTTTGTATCGTTAGCTATTGACCGTCTACCTGCAATGTGTTTGTCAATCCGGCAAAAAATCGACGTTCGGACGGTTTGAAAAAATATTTTTTAACCTAACTCAAAACTTTTAATGAGACGATTCTCGAATCCCTGTATTATCGTCGAACTTTGTGGTTTGTACAATAATAATTATACGACGACCCCGCAGCACAAAGAAGTTTGGGGAGTACAAACATATTTGGCGATGTTAAATAATTTAATTATGTAGGTTTGTATTATACTCGTGTTTCAAGAGCTCCGAAACCACGAACGTTTATTGATTATTTTTCGAATATTGTATATTAATTTGTGTAATTTAATTTACTATAATATCGTATAGATACATATAATACATACTTTTAAATATTATTTTTATATATTGGCAAATTAAGTTTGGAGGTTTATATTGTGGAGGATGCGCTAGGAGTATTCATATATATATACCTAGTCCAATAATGTCTCCAGAAAACGAGTTTTAAGTGTAATACCTATATATATAAAAAAAAAAGTTTTTAGTGGAAGTTTAACATAATCGCTCAAACTCTAAAGCCATTTCTCCAAAAGAAAACAAGCCGTCGGAATATGACATAATGATAACATATTGCGTTTTAACCGATATGCTATAATAAGGTAAGTTTTTTAATCTTATCAAACAACGCCCTCCGTCGGACGCAAGAGATACGTGTTCAACATTAAAATCTAAGTAGAATATTATGATTATTTTTACGTAGGTGGTATGTGCATATAAACCATGTTTTTCGCATATTGTAATATATAAGAGACCTAACTGCGTATGACGTGCTGCAGTCTTCTTCGCCTGCAGCATACTGCACAACACCGTCGTACAGTATACTCACATCTCTCCGCTTCGCCCCCTTTATACATATATAAGCGACTCATCGACCATGTTATTGGTCGCAGATGGGGCGGTAATGACCCTTTCGTTGTTGTTTTTTTTTCATTATTCCCCCCGAAAAGTATGTACGAGAACATTTTTCAGCGTTCCAAATCGTTACTAATATATCAAAACACGAGACTGCAACTATACGGTGGTTATAATATAGAGAAGAAAAAATATGGAAAAACTAATAATATTCACATTCGAACGGAATTCGTTGTTGTAACGCATGCGATGTATATTATCGAGACATGAACCCGCGAATATGCACTCATATTGACATCAGTCATTACGAATGCATATACCTAAGCATTCGTGAAAATACATATTAATATGTAATAATGGATATTACATGAATACCAGGGTAAAATCGTTAAAATTTATTTTTTTAATCTAAATTCAAAAACATCGCTTAAATTATTTTGAAAATCTTAAATTCAAAATATTTAAATCCGTGATTTCAAATTCCAAAGATCTAAAAATATGTATTGACTTAACATTAAAAATATTGAATTATCCAAAAAGGTAATTTTTTTAATTATTTTAACCAATAAAACATTTTAATATCTATATATTTATATTTCTTTAAATTAATTTTTGTAAAATTTTTTAGGGTTATTTAAGAAGTTTTTTAATGTACTTAAAAATCTAATGAACTATAAAATAATGTTGTACAGATTAGAATATAACTATAGAATAGCTGTTGGCTAAAGTTTAATAAATAGACTATAAATTTTAATGAAATAAAGTTCCATGTGTTATAGCCTATGTCGGCGTCACGATTTACACAAGATATAATGTATTGATATCAATGTAGTATCAACGCATAAATATTAAACAAGGTTTTATCAAAATTAAATTGAATCTCTTTATGTAAATATTATTTTGAAAATCAAAAATCAAAATCCTTTTTTAATTGATTTTGGATTTTGAAAATCTTAGGGATTTGTAATCACGCCCAAGTCTGATAATAAAATATTATATTATACGTAAATCGACTAGTCTCAAACCACGCATAATATATCGATTATATATACTATCGATTTCAACCGAAAAAAGGTTACTCACCGAGATTCGTAAGTCCTTATAGCTGTCAAATCATGTGTGTGCATAGAGAGAAGAAGCATGTTATTGCATTGGGCCATCCTTTTTATTGTTTTCGTCTATCCACCCAAATACCCCCCACCCCTCCTCGACCAACCGCCGTTGTGGGTACGTGACGTTTTTTTATGTACCTTCTCCGAGTTAATTAATTGTATTGGTAAATTATTATTATTAGTTCGACAACGAGGGTAGGTATAAACGTATAGAACTGTATTTAAAATAACTATAGTAGTTTCGGTGCAGTGACGAAGATACCATCTATAGACTTACATCATGTTATACTGAATGGCGATAAATTCGATACGATTGGGGCGGTGCAAACCTCATCGTAAAGTTTTTTTACGTTTCGACCAACACTCGTTTTTTTAAATTTTTTTTATTACAGCGTGTGAAATGTTAAAGGTGTAGGTATAATACGATCTTAACAAAAAATGAAGATCGAAATTAATACTTGCTTTAAGTTGTCGAAGATTATAGCTGTAAATGCCTTAACGGTTTGAAAAGAACAGTCTTAAAACCATTATCATTTCGTTTGTATTTCTATACATACTATACAATCTAAAATTTAACGTATTTGATTACCTACTGGTTGTCTAGTTCATATATTTTATTCAATTTAACCAATAGGTGGATAATTTCTAATAATAATATGTGTATATTATATTGTATTAGATATTTTGTTATAAATAATAATATTGTTTTAATGTTCCATTTATTGTTGAAATTTTATGAACTCGTATTCTTCATAATCAATTAGTTTAGAAAATGTTAATACAAAACGATGACAACGAGATATCAATCAAACATTTCAAAAACCGTGTAGTAATTTGAACAAAAACGCGTTCTTGAACTTTAAGGGTTGTGTGGCACGTATTAAACGTAACCTACCAACATGCAATTTTGTACACTTAATTTTTTACACATGTTGGGATCAATTTGGGTGGAATGAACAAAATCCAAAATCTAAAAACAAGGTCCACCCCTAATCTAATATCGTTATCCAATTATACATATTAATATATTATATCGAATGGAGATGAAATCAAAACACTTGCGCTCCAACGCAAACCTCACCGTAAAGTTTTTTTACGTTTTGCCTAATACTTGTTTTTATTTTTATTATATACCTACCTACCTCGTGTGAAATGTTTAAGGTGAACCCGCGAGATATTTAAGGTAACCCCACCCACAGCCCTGTCGACCGCAATGTCAACACGCCTGTACACTTCCGCTTCTGCGCGGTATCCCCTTCGTCAAAAGCTTTATACAATATATTATACCGTATACCGTGTTGCCAGTATATACCTACTAGTAGATCATAAGGTATATACATATTTATTATGTACACACAAACGTCTACACCGCCTATATTATGTAATACGAATTAAACGATCGATGTTCGGTTTTCCGGTGAGAATAATAATAATAATAATAAAAACAACAACAACAATAATAAATACGGGCGGTGAAAATGCGTCGGACGATGACATTACGTTTTTTCGACGGATTAGGCGTTACCTATAATATATTATATATAGGTACATAATATGCATAATAATATTATTATATAGAGCTATATAACATAGTACCTACTAGGTACCTAGTAACTAGTAAGTGTCCAGTGCCGTCGGCCTTGACATTGACGCGGGTCATTCGTACATTACATTTTATACGCGTTACGATTATTGAATACAATTTAATATTATAATATTATACTGCAGCGGACATATAAAAGACACGACCGTTTTTCCGTTCCCACAATGACTCACTCGCACCTAATAAATAATAATGGCATGCATCGTTTCCGCCAAAATTAATATTTTACTCGGTTTTTAATTCGTGTTATGCACCCATCGATTAGAATTATTATACCAACCTGCTGGAATTATACCAACTGCAGGTCATATTAAAGCTGTGCACAGGCATTATCCTGCAGTGAAGATGACTATTTTCATTACTTGTTTTTAAATTTTAAATTTTTTTTCGAATAAATTGCGATCCGTAAACGTAGCAAAAACTATATGAAGAGTTAAACTATGCGTAATATAAACCTGTTAAAAATGATTATTCACGAGGGCGTTACCATACATACAAATTTCGTACCTACTGCATTACTTAAGATTTTAGTAATAAAAACGAAGAAATTATTATTTTTCTGGCAGGTAGGTAGTAGTGAATTTGCCACCGGGAGTGCAGCTCGTCGCCTTCGCGGACGACGTAGCCGTCATCGGCACTTCCCGGACCGGGCCGTCCGCAGCTGCATTACTGAACCCGGCGCTGGAAACCGTGAGCAACTGGATGCGCGACAACGGCTTGTCCATTGCACCCCAGAAGTCGGAGGCCGTCGTCCTGACCGGGAAGTATAAATACACCGAGCCTGAGCTGTACGTCGATGGACACGCCATCCCGGTCAAGGCGTCAATAAGATATCTGGGAGTTGAGCTCGACACCCGACTTTCATTCACCGCCCACATCGCGGCTGCGTCGAAGAGAGCAACTCAATCCGCCAAAGCCATCGGACGACTCATGCCGAACCTAGGCGGACCGGCCCAGGCTAAACGGGCACTCCTGGGGTCCGTAACGAACAGCAAACTCCTGTACGCCTCCCCGGTCTGGGCTACAGTTGGCACCAAGACCGCGAAGAACCGGAATGAAATGGCTCGGGCACAGCGTACAACGGCCATACGCACGATAAGGGCGTACCGGACGGTGTCCGCCGATGCGTCATCCGTCCTCTCCTCTATGCTGCCGGCTGACCTCCTCGCTCACGAGAGAGCCAGAGTCAACGACCGGATGAGCGACGCTGGCGAGGTCAGACCTAAACAAGCGGTGAAGCTCCAGGAGAGGGAGATATCGGTCAAGTCTTGGCAATCTAGATGGGACCGGGCAGCCATCACACCTGGCGCGGTAGGGCGGAGATGGACCCACCGACTCCTACCCGACATAGCACGATGGCTGACTAAACCGCCAATGGACCTCACTTTCCACCTCACCCAGGTACTCACAGCTCACGGCTGCTTCAGGAGCTACCTCGCTAGATTCAACCGGGCAGACGACAGCTACTGCACCTACTGCATGCACACAGACGACACCGCCGAACACACGCTGTTCGTCTGCCCGAGGTGGGTAGATGAGCGCTCCACTATGGTCAGTCTTCTCCGCCGACCCCCCCACGCCGGTGACGTTGAGGAAATTCTCTGCGGCCCCCGCAATGAAGAGTTACCAGACGACCTGGCGGCGCGAAAGAGAATACTCGATCAGGCGAGAACGAACCGCCGGGAATTTACCACCATGGTCGAATCGATCATGGCCGAAAAGGAGGAAGACGAACGGGACGAACAGCGATGAAGGACGGACCGAAGACGCCCTCCGCAGTCGCAACAGCGACACGTCGGAGGTGTCACCGACCACCGCTCCTTCATCCCCACCCCCCTGTGACACCACGGGAGGGTAAGGCGATCACGGCATCGCAGGACGAACGGGCACCCCAGGGCGGCGGACTCCGGTCGGCCCGCTAAGACCAGGTACAGAACAACCACACCCAAAATGTAGATGAAGTGTATAAACTGTAATGTAAGGGGGGTAAGTCGGGGAATTGTCCCGTCTACCTCCCCCGTATGTATAAATTTTGATATTTCAATAAACGATGGCGGCGCCGCGGCAGTAATGCGAAAGCAATTCCCGCGGCGCCGTCGGTTAAAACTGAAAAAAAAAAAAAAAAAAAAAAAAGGTAGTAGTGAATTATTCACTTGGTAACAGATACCTCATCGTGATGTGAACGCACTCGATGTGTTAAGCCCGACAGCTGATGTATGAATGAGCTTAAAAAACCGGATAAAATATTGTTTTTGGCGGAAACCGACGTGTTTTTATTTTTGGAGGAAATAATAGCTAGGATCCGCTGTAATAATAATTATATAATGACAGTAATTATGGCGGGAATTAAGTAGTCAAAATATTGCAAACATTATTAAGTAGATACAAAACATTATTCGTTATGCATTATGCATCACGCGTCTATGTATTAGATGCACACTGTTACAGTGTATTATATAGGTACACAAAGAAAAAAATAACTTAAAATCGGCGCTCCCGAAAATTGAGGCACCGTCCGCGCCTGAGGTGGGATACGTGTACAATAATATTATTCAGTATAGGTACGCCACAGAGATTTGCAGCGTTTCCTCTACTTTTTTAAAATTCTTATGAACGTTCCCGCCAACGCCGCTCGTCCGATTTAACGTGCGGTACCGCCGGCTGATTGCACGACGATACTATGTTTAGCGCAGAGCGGTCAGTAATTTATAAGATTATAATATTATTATAACGCTCTAGAGAGTAGGAGGAGCAGTAGAAGCGACCGCTTTGTTAGACTGCGCTTGGTTTTTTAAGTACATATTTTATATTATTTTGGCCAGGCGGCGGCGGACGAGGAAAAGATTCACACGAATAATAATAAAAAAAAAAAACCTAATAATAATAATAACGATCCCGGAGAGGAGGTAAAGGAGAAGACGATGGAGGAGGCGTTTTGGCACGCGACCGGCGGACTATCGTCGTACATTACATTATACGCTTACATCGTATAACGCCGCCTCCAAGTTACATCGTACGAAAGCGTAATAAAAACCGGCCTATACAGTATACACTATGCACACACATATATATTATACAGGGTGTTTCACCTAGCATGTTCAGTATTGCCCACTCCCTTGTTGTATATTTAATAATACAGTTATTTTAAATCTGATTTTTAGTTTTTTTAAATATACCTACTTAAAAACCACATTTTCAAATTCTTGAGATTTTTTGTACTGCTAAAGAAGTGTTTTGTGAAGATACAAACTTAGGTTTTTAAAATGACAACCACCGTTTTTTTATATTATACGTTATTTTAATGGATAATTGTCTGAAAATGTTTGCATATCAAAATAGAAATTCAAACGATTAGCTTGTGAGTCATATAATTTTGTGTACAAAAGATCATATTGTTATAGGTTCATAATAATAGGTTTATAGAAGATATGGGAGACTTGGCGTTTTTAACATTTTAGTGCCTAATTAATATTAATATTAATCTATTAACATTTATAATTAGTAAAAAACTACTCGTTCGTATTTTAAATCTGGTATGTATAACTACACCAAAATATTCAAAAAAATTATCCAGTAAATAAATTACAATGAAGTAGGAGAGGCGGCGGTTGGTTTCGTTTGAAAAACAAAAGTTTATATCACCATTCACCACAGGATACTCCTTGATAAATATAAAAAATCTCAAGAATTCGAAAACATAGTCCATTCAGTGTATTTAAAAATTATAAAAACCAAAATTCGAGTAAAAAAATGGGTTTCAGCGTATTTGGTGAATCACCCTGTATACGTGTATTATATGTACACGGTATATGCGTTTTATTGTGTAATAAATATTGTATAAAATGACTAGAGCGTGTATTATAACCCTATATTCGTATACAATGTGTGTATATACGTTCCCCCGAGAGACCTGCAGCAGTACCACGGCCAGTCCCGTCGGGGTCAGCGCTTTGACATTATAATATTATATAGCCGGGTCCGAGCGGCCTACACCCCGGAAGGGGCAGGTGCTCGCGATGTTATAATAATGTATTGTGTAATATCATCAACGCGAAGACGGACAGAGGCAGACAGAGAAAGTGAGAGAGTGAGTGAGACCGCTATCGTCGCTGTAATAAACGAAAGCTTTTGGGCGCACTTAACGGCGTACTAGGCCGTGCGCGTACAATACGTGTTCATATTTATACACGTAAATACACGATATAATATATATATATGTATATTGTATACAGAGTGAATTTGGTACCTTATAACATAATAAAAATATAATATACTTGGCACATGTAACAGTAATAACGCATGACACGCGCGACCTTTGCAGCGACCGTTCAACGCGTAAAATATAATAATATTTCATCGACCGCGATAGTTGTTACACGCCGATCGATATAATATTACGATATAGGCGGGCCGTTGTGTTTTCGTGCATGCTGTGATTAGCCTTTCGGGAAAACGCGGGTGGCCCATCGTTTACATAATATAATAATATAATATTATTATTTTATAGTTTGATAAAGACACGGCTCGGGACTCTAGGGTAAGTGGTACCTACCTCGTGAATTATTGAGCGACTCGATTGTTTACCGATATAAAAATATGTGCCTATACATAAAAACAACAACTGTGTGTTATTATAATACTATTATGACGTAATATTATAAACTGTTTCGTTTAATAACAATTAAAGTTTGTTATTGTTTAATATATTTTAATTAGGCAGGTATTATTATTCTTTTTTATGTTATACGATTTAATATATTTTTTAGAATTGATGGTTCTTTTCAAATGTTTTATACATTAATAAATTATGGCTTAGAAATTATTAATGCAGGGTTCGATTTAGTTTTTGGCTGCGAGAAACATCTCAAAATATATTGACGTCGATATTTTTTGATATATTTTCTGTTCTATAGACGGAATTTTCCTGTTCACTCTCTGGTTTACCACCAATCGCATATTGGTCTTAAAACAGGACACGGTAGCCGTGGGACCGCCGATACCACGTCCGTCATAGCACATGCGAGTATGCCAATATAAGAAGAATATATTTAAGAACAAATAACAATAATATTATATTGTATAATATGACTGCCGATTGGAATTGACGATAAGTGATAATTGATAGGTATGCTATTCGGTTTTTGGTCACTGCATCTGAGTGCATCTATATTATAATACAAATTCACATTGGTAGTTGGACGTATTACATTTGAGTCCGATGGACCCAAATGTACACATTATTCGGTCCCAAAAATAGCCAGGTAATTAAGTTTAAATAATAAAAAAAAAAAACAATGTCTTACCCAATTTAAAGACTTGGAACTGTCACAATATGTCAAAAAATGACAAATAGATTAAAAAATTGGACTCAATTATTAGGCTTATTATCTATAATATAATAATCTTATAAGCTTAACATCTATAAGTAAAAGTTCTAACTTCTAATAACTTACATAAAATATAACTTACTTAAAAATGATAAAATATGTTTTCTTTTCTAAGGAATATACAACCAAATTTCACGAATAACGAAAACAGCTGTGACCACCAGCGAGAACTAGGTCCAAAACACGTATTTTTGTGATAAGCTCCTGACATACCTGGTTAGTATATCATAGATTAGTCTACGGAAAGCGGTCCCCGTTGACCGTTGGCCATTTTCTACGCGTCAACACCATCGTCTAAATCTCGATCAAACTGAGGTTTTTGATTTGCCGTCAGCGAGATAATATGCATCTACATTATTTAGTGTGGCACAAAGCGAAAAAATTCCGACGAACGAGCCTAATTGTATGTGTTTCACTACTAC